CACCGGGGAAATCGATGTGCTTAACATCATTCGAGCCCTGGACCATCGGATTCCGCTTCCGATCGGTCATTTGCTTTCGATCTCGGAACAAGCTAATGAGCGAATGCTACAGCACTGCAAGGCGAATCGAAAATGATTCTCCCTCGCGCAAACACCGAACGTAAAGGCCAAAAGCCCCTCGCCAGAAGAAAATATGGCAGGCCGGTCGGACCCAATACGGGTAGGATTAATACAAAAAGACGATCATTTCCTACAAATTGAACCCATCCTGTGGAACTCTGCGGAGTGCGATATTGAAATATGAGGAGTCCGTACAATGCAATCATCGACTCGTGGGCCGCTGTTTTGGCTATCTCGCTTAGAGTGGTCGAAAGGGCAGGTAGGAAAAACGATCTGATCATGCTTTCTGAGAAAGATCAGCTCGTTTCGGCTGACGAAGAAAAGATTAAAACATTGGGAAAAATGACCAATGTCGCCTTTCGACTAGGAAAGGTGCATGCACTGGGAGATGTTGTCGTGCTAGATGTGAATACCTATGACGTTCTTTTCGGACTTCCTGCTCTAGTGGCGCTATGAGCAAACCTTGATTTCATACGACGATCGATCGTCCTCTGAAATACAGGAGGAAAGCCCTATGCGGTGCCTATGAGACTAACCCTTCGTACCACCATCAACGCAGTCCCGCGGGTTTCGCCGATGATGGCAGGGACTCTCCGCATGATCTCCTGGGATGAATCCGCAGATGAAAAGTCATCGACGAATGATGCAGACAACGGTGATGAGGATGACCCGGAGATCTCGAAGCTAGCACGACAATGTGTTTACTACCCGCCACCCAGAACGATAGCAAGAACGATGCATCTGACCAGTAGGAACGTCCAAAGGACCAAGGCGATGATTTTGGGTGAACCCCTCGTACAGATTTCGAGGATGGTCGATTCTTTGGAACCCCATCAAACCCTGTACGAAGGGATCACCCCGCTTCTCTCCCGATACAGCGACAAAAAGCACTACTGCGACATTACAGATCTACCAAGGTCCCTTTTAACACCTGCCAAAGAAGTGTGATTGTTACGCTTAGGGGCGGAAGCAAGTTCTCTGGAACCCCCTGGGCGTCTCGAAGCAGAAACGAACGAACTGGGGATAAAGATCGCAACTAAGAACGTGCTATGGCAGGACATTTGTGACGGGATTACCCCGGAAGGACACGTGGCAATCCGGGAAGAAGATGTCCAGATGATGGCCACGGTGTTCTCCTGGCGATCGGATCACTCCTTCATTTCTGCACCCCCGCCTGATGTGGCGAAACCTGCCCACACAAAACAGATAGATGTACGGATCTGGGACCAACTTTTTGAGTTGCACGTGCCACAGTACGTACCCGATGAAATTCATCGGGTGATTGCAGACATTTTGACGGAATATCGGGGAGCGATTAGCATGACAGACACTGACATTGGCCTATCGCTAGTTATTCAACACGAAATACAGACGGGGAATCACTTCCCGATCCATTGTAAATCGTACCGATACTCCCTGATAGAACGCAAAAAGGCCCTCGAGCGAATTCGAGAATTTGAAGCCTGCGGATGGATTGAACCCGCCACCGACCATGGTCATTTCCCGTCGTACTAGTGCCAAAGAAAAACGGATCAATCCGCATATCCATCGATTATCGCAAGCTGAATGAGATCGCGATCAAAGATGTGTACCCCCTCCCCCGAATTGATGATTTGTTGGATGCGATTGGTTGCGCTAAATATTTAAGCAAGTTTGATATTCGGCATGGCTTCCATCTCATTCTGGTGAAGGAGGAAGATCGACCGAAGACGGCCTTCGTGTTGTTTGAAGGCACGTGGCAGTGGTTTCGGTGTCCGATGGGGATTTGCTACGCGTCTGCCACGTTTCAGCGAGCCATGAACATGACATTCCAGAACTTCGTCAACAAGACGCGGGTGACAAAAGGGATTATCAACTTCTGCGTGATCGTTTACATGGACGATATCCTTGTCTACTCAGAGACCTATCACGGGCACTCGCAACACATCGAGTGGACACTGGAAGCGCTGAGAGATGCTGGGTTCAAGATCCCGCTCGAAAAGAGTGAATTTTTCCTTTCGGAAATTTCGTTCTTGGGCTATGTCGTGACACGTGGAGGACTGCGGTCGGACTCCATAAAAGTTGCAACAGTAAGAGAAGCCCCAGTTCCCACGTCGTTGATGCAGGTTCGAGCCTGCTTAGGGTTGGCATCGTACTATCGTCGCTTCATCAAGGGTTCCGCCGCGATTGCACGACCACTAACGAACCTGCTAAGGAAGGACCAGCCTCTCAGCTGGGACGCGGAGTGCCAACAGGCTTTCGCAACCCTCAAGGACGCTCTGGCGACGGCCCCTATTTTGATTTGACCGGACCCCTCGAAACAGTTCATTCTCATCACGGACTGGCAACCGGAAGCTATCTCCGCTATTTTAGCGCAAAAGGGGAACGATGGTCGTGAACACGTCATCGAATACGCGTCACGCACGGTACCAGACGAACAGAGGAACGACTCAGCACCTCAGGGCGAATGCTATGCAGTGGTCTGGGGAATCCAACACTTCCATCTGTATCTCTACGGACAGAAGTTTCGCCTCGTGACGGATCACAAGCCTCTGCTAGCTTTGAAGAAGCTCACCAATTACACGGGCATGATTGACCGATGGGCGGTGCGGCTGCAAGAATATGACTTCAATATCGTCCATCGAAAGACGGAGCGACACGGCAACGTGGACGGGCTGACGCGTCTGCATCGACCTGCCAAGGTACCAAAGGGCGAGGAAATTACACCGTGGAAAGAGTCGGACGTGGTACGGACAAGTGCCAGTCCTCCCACGTGGCAAAAAGTAAAACGGTGGCGATGGGTGACGGAGGTAACCCCACTACCCCTCTCGCTCCCCTGTCTTCCTCGTCTCTCCTCCCCCTGCCTGACAAATTTTGCTATTTTTGCGAAGCTATCTCCCGCGTATACTCGGTCTCCATGCGTCCTAATGGGGAAGGGTATGTTGATTGGATAGATTGCCGACAGTGTGTTGCACGAGCCCACGGCTCGTGCATCCAATACAGAAACGATAGTAAACCATGGTTGTGCCCTTTGTGTCGGACCGACAAGATCCCGACCGAGGCTCGCTTTTTGGATGCCACGTCAAAAGGGTTGGAAAATGCCCGAAGGTTTAGAAGGGCCGAAGTATGGACTGATATCCCCTTGATTGCCACCCTGGTCGGCAACCCCATCCAGGATTTCACCAAGGAGGATCGGAGGAGGGCCAACTAGAGGGCTCGCGATTACAGATGGATAGAGGGCACATTGGAAAAACGAAAAACTGACGGTAGTGGGATTTGGATGGTTGTACCGCATCCGTTCATGAGGTATGACTGGGTTAAGACGACACATGAAGAAACTGCGGCTCATTTCGCCGTACGGGTCACAGAGTCGGCTATCGATAAATGAGTGGTACTGGTCCAATATCCGCGACGATGTTGAGTACATCGTCGCCAACTGTCAAGTCTGCGCCGCTGATAAGGCGCCGATTGACCCGCCAAGATCGATAGTACCAACGGTAGTTGAACGGCCATTTCAAAGAGTCAGTGTGGACACTACCGACAAAGTAGTGCCCCCTGGTCCTAATTGTTGTGAGTATTCAGTCCTATTGGTATTTGTCGACCATTTTTCGAAATGGATCCAAGCCTACCCTTGTCGCACGCGACAAGCCGCCGAGATCGCGCGATACGTCAACCGTTTTCTCGGGATACACAAGGATACGGAAGAGATCCTGACCAACAATGGGGCTGAATTCAGGGGAGAAGTGCTAAGGAATCTGGTCTTACATGGCGTCGCCATACGGAATACTGCACCCCACATGTTGCAATCCAATGGGCTGGTGGAAAACATGAACAGGGTGATAAAGACGGCATTGCGGCGGAATATCGCGGCATGAGATCCGAGGCCCTGGCCCGATATCGTCGACCACATCCTAGCGGTCCATCGCGGTACACCTCATGAATCGACGAGGCTAAGCCCCTTCCAATTGAGGACCAATAGCATCGCTTGCGTTTCGATACCAAGCCTACCGGATGAATCCACACTGAACCGACGACCCACCAGGGCCACGGCTCGGGACAAGGCCAAACGACACTTGGAACTAATGGAATGGTCCTTGCCCAGGCTAGCCCGAAAACGGCACAGGATGACCGAATTGGCCCAAGGCCGACAGGTCCGAAGCTATGAGGCCCGGAATGGGAACGCAAGAGCACGGCCCCAGTACAAATTGGGGGACATCGTGCAGGTGAGGAAATGTGCTCGCCAGGGTAAGCTAGCGCCACGATTCTTCAGGCGATTTCACGTAATCGAACTCGGACCGAACGCCATGAACACCGTGCGGCTTGCGCCTGAGGTCTCCGGCAGCCGATCGGCTCGCCCGATCATTCGCCACGTGTCCTACCTCTGTCTCCTTCCTCCCTCTCAATCTTCGCATTCACCCGATTCCTCCTCCACTGCGGAGAAAGGTGACAACTACCTCTCTCCTATCTCTCCGTCTCCTTCCTATTCTCTCTCTCTTACCCCGTCACCATCGCCATGAGCTTTGCAACGGAGCAAGTGATCGGCGCACGGCTTCTTACTCCGCGGGGGCGAATCAGCGTCATATGGCAGGTGCAGCGACCCCATCTCTGCTCTGATCTCCTCCGGTTTGCAGCTTTCTTCAATACGTCGGTGATCTACGCAGCGACAGAGTTCCGATTCACGGAAGAGGCAACTACGCGCGTTCTGGCCGAGATCTCGGCCTTTCGACGGCTATCCCTCCCCGGGATTAACCATATCGCCGTCGTCGTCGTCTTTACAAGAGACATCACCGCGATTCCGCCAGAGATTCACCCCGACATCTATCGGACGTTGCGCGTCTGGGCTGGGGAAGTGCGGACAGCGTGGACCGATCTCCTGGCTCGGCGAGGAGACACCGTCGTGCCGGCGCACGACACGGACCTCCAGCTTCGCTCGTCTCGAAGCTCGCCAGCGGTCGCGCTCCCGGAGCTTCGTCCCTTCGCGCCGCCCCAATGAGTCATCGTCGTGTCTCCTACTTCGGCCTCCCCTCTAGCATCCCCACCCTTTGGCAATCTGCGCGGGCTCCTGCTCTCTCCTACTGTGTTAAGGAGAACGGTGCGCCGCTATTGAGCGACGAAAAGTGGGACGCGTGGTGGGAAGACTATATCGAGCTCGCTTTCTGTCTATTGGAGATAGAGTTCCGTTGGTCAGAAGTGGCCCCATTTGGAGAAGGTCCAGAGCACCCAGAGGACAGCGTGGAGCTTCGGATCATCCAAGCCTGGAGAATGGCGGAGCAAGGTGACCTGCTGGGAATCGTATTCGGAAAGGTGGAGGAAGGTAATCTCGCCTTGATCACGGACGAATTGCTGGTGTTTCTGACTCAGCTGGTGGACGATCTGCCCCTGGACATTTTGTCGCACAGTGACAAGCAGCCTGGCACCCACGTATTGTCTCAAACGCTCGAGCCGCACCTTGTGTGGTCCACGTGTATGGAGATTGACGAGGACAACTGTCTTTATCCTTCCCAGGTGCTCTACCTGGAGATCGACGTTACCGATCTCACGTTTTGGGACCCGATTGCGAGGCAAAACGCGGTGCAGGACGAGGAGATAGGGGGAGCAGACGAAGAGGAGGAAGAGGAAGAGCCATCGAGCGAAGAACGAGACGATCCAGACTACGTACCGGAAAGCGAAGCAGGGATAGCCGACGAATCGAGCCAACCGCGGGACGAGGAAGAAGAAGAAGGAAACGAGCAAGCGGAGTTGGAGTTCGAAGGATTCGAGGCTGAAGTGCGCGACGTGGCTCGAGAAAGAACGCAAGAGCACAGGAAGCGAAAGCGCCAGGAGACCACGGAGGGAAGCGACCTTCAACAAACGATTCGTCGACCGGGGACCCGTGGCGCGATCCGGAGCCGCCAGAAGAAGAGGACGATGGAACCAAAGCGGAGGGATCACGAAGCAGAAGAAGAAGAAGAAGTGAATCGCCAGTTCCCTCCAGCTCCCTGTCCCGATCCTCCATTCGTTTACATCAAGATCTCGGCGTTCGGGCTTCGTCCCCGGTCGTTCTCTCGCCGACCCCGTGACTACCTCATGCTTACCTGTCTTCCCAATAGACCCCCATTCCCCGATGGTTGGTGTCCTTTCCCCCACCACCTTTTCTACCGTCTCTACGCTACCCGCCTTCTAATCTCTGTTTACCCGCATGCCACCACCCGTTCTGTGGTTGATTCCTTTTTCCTTCACGTGCTCTTGTTTAGCGCAGAATGGCGGGAACATAACCACGTAGAAATATACTGTATTATATCTGGAACTATTCCCGCCTGCGAAAACTACGAAGATTTTTGCGCCACTCTGTGACGAACCCTGTCCACCATTTACCCCGACTACATCGCCGCTTTTCGCCACCTCCATGAGGTCCCTCGTTTCCCCCGCATCCATCGCTCCTTCCACTACGCCACCCTTCCTGATTTCGCCTCTCCTGCCATCAATCGATTCATGCCCCCTCTTCCTCTCAACCATCCGCCACCTCCACCTTCAGTGATTCGACTTCCATTCCCCAGGACCGTTTAGGGTCTAGGGTCTACCCTCCTGCCGCACTGATGTATGGCTAATGGACACGTGTCATAACGGCGGCACGTGTAATCCCCCTCCTTGGAATGTCGAAGGCCTACCATGAGGAAGTAGTAGAAGAGCAGTACTGCCACGTTGGACGACGTCCACACTCAATTTAACGGTACTAAGTGGCATTGAGAGAGATGCTCCGTGTGTCGGTCGATCAGATAAATCGACACGTGTCACAAGCAAGCAGGAGCTTGCTAATTCTGGAACCCCCTGGGCGTCACATATATGACGAACCACTTTCTGTAACGCGCGATTTTCTGCGCGGTTGCAACGAGGGGTCCTAAGCTGGGAAGGTTAGGCCAATTACGCGAGATTGGAATCGGTGGGAAATTGCATCAGTGTCCTTGCTTTTTCGTATTTTCCGTCGCTTCTTTGGCTGGGTTCGGAGCTGGGCGTGTCCTGGGATGGCCGGTCGATTGATTGGTTGGCTGAATGGCTGGCGCGCCTCCGTGCGCGCGATTAATAAATGTTGACGTCGTTTCTTTCGCTTCGGTTTCGATTTTTTTGGCGCGGACATCGCGCAGGAATTTGCATTGTTCTTTTTGAATTTTCCTTTCAAATCTTTTTCCGAATTTTATCGAGCCATGATGGCTCTCGAAATTTCGGATTTTCCTCCCGGAACCTGTACTTTTGCTTTTCGGATTAGTTATGAATTTAGGAATTTTGTAATTAGGACTTTCTCTTGCCGCGCGGCGCCCTTATTTGCCTACGCGCTTCTTTTTGCGCCTGCAACAAAATTCTGATTAGTCGGCGCCTTTAATCGGATGTGTAACTGTAATCTTGGGTTGGCGCCATTGTAACTGTATCTTTCTTCTTGCTCTTCGTCCTTCCCGCCCTCCTCTTTCTTTTGCTGCGTTTTTTAAACTACAGAGTGCATGCTCAGATCGATGCCTGGAGAGTGGCTACGTCCCCCACGCCGCGGCCCGGTCATGCAGAACGTAGGCACTCCCTCTCTGATCTCCCCTCTAAGTCTTGGTAATTCCGTGTTCTTCGCGCATGCATGCACGCTATAAATTCCTGCTGCGCAATTAGTTAGCTCTCTTAACCCGTTGTTGGAAGCTCGGGGTTGCGCGATAAGGAAGGGTCGGCACACGAGCGAGGAAAGAGGTGAGTAGAGTAGGAGTTGGGCGACCCGACGGGCGGGTGCCGAACGCGCGGGATTGATGTGGGCCACGACGGATTGTGGGCACGGGCGAATCCGACGGGTGCGGGAGGACTAAGCGGGGTGACGACTTCGTGGGTTGGTGCGTGACGACGGACTGTCCGCATCAGAGAAGAGAGAGAAGAGGAGGAGAGAGAGTTGAGGTTGATGGACGCGGGTTTGCTGTTTCTTTGTCTCTTCCCCCTCTTCATCTGTGTATATACATTTTGATTGCGGCTCCGGGCGGTTGCCCGTTCTTGTTTTTCGTCTCGGCTTTTTGGAATCTGGACTTGGGTTTTTGCTTACACTTATCTTTGCGATTTCCGCCTCGATTGCATTATGTGTACGATTACTGAATGCATGGATGTATGGATGCTATGCCTGCTTGTCTATCTTTTGCTGAAAATCCTTGTCCTTGCTTTTGTTTGTGACGAATCATCACCTGCACCTGATACAGATGTAGAGAGGATAAGAACTTGGCCCCGATAGCGGTTTTGTTCTCGTTGTTGCTTGGGTTGTGGTGTGGTTGCATCTCGCATAACCGAACCTATGGAGCCATTAGACAATCCGATGTCGGGCCCTACGAACGCTGCGCGAAAACACGTGTAAACACGATCCGAATCGCAAGTTTGCACGCATCCCCGTGTGTCGATCCGCCCACCCAAAAAGATTCGCGACAAAACCATCATCCCGCACGAGCACGCTGAGGCGCAACTAAGTTCGCTCGTCCTACACGTACTCGTGCGCGGTGACGATAACCCGGCCAGAGCTATCCCATACACGATGATACCATGACGCGATCTTGGAGCTCAGACTCATCCTATGACCCGGATTACTTCACCCCTTGGATAAACATACTCCTAAGGCTGCGATACCCCTGCCACACGGAGAATCGACTGTGTCCGCGAGAATTCCACTGCGCCACCACTAGCCACCCCCGGTGTTCTGATTTCCCTTCCCCTGACCATACCTACTATTTCATTCACCCGGGATTTGTCGTCATCACCACCAGTTTCCCTCCCTTTCGCCTTCTTCTCCCGTATCATCAACTCAGCGTCGTTCCGTGGCTGGCCATATCCCCCTATTGGCCCAGCACGCCTTGCGGGAATTGCCGACGTGGCGGCGAACGGAAAACCCCGGAATTCTGAAGGCCCAACCCAAATACGCAACGGCCTGCGCCACGTGACGGCCCCCGACGACCCAACTTTTCGGGACCGCCTCCGCCGAGAAGGGACTTCACCGCAAACCGCCGTCCACAGTACCCCGGCCCCATCGGGCCTTGAGTCCCAAGCGCCCCTTGCCTGCCTAATTGCATTCATACCCTTAAGACTCCCCCACTTTTCCCCAAAAATCCTTGGCACACCCCTTTTTGCACTTCCAGGCCCATATCCTACTCCGATCAGGAAGTCGCGTTGGGCGTGAGGTTGGGCGTCACAGCTCCACTACACTAGACAAACGCCTCCCGAAGTGTTGTCAGAAAGTGCGCAAGACTGGCACTTTCTACTCCTCTAGTGTGCGTTTGCCTGCAACACCCGTTTCCTCTAGGGTCAACGGTACTGAAATTTGAGTCCACCGCTCTCGGTGGACAAACCAGGCTGGTGGTCTCCTTTTGTGGATTCCGGCTGCTGTAAACTGTCCAAAGTGCGGCCCCATGTATCTTTCCATGGTGTAGCAGAAGATTCAGGGACTCGTTAGACACTCCTTGGGGGGTCCTCGGGGCCGAAGGAATTTTCCTTCCGGGTTTTGAAGGAAATTCCCGTCGTCGTTCCACCTATCCTTGGAGGTGGTCTCCCAAGGATGATTCCTTTCGGCCCCCGACGGCCATTTTCATAACATTATAGTCGGCCAGGGGGGGCCAATGCCTTGGTCCATTGGGTGATGTCTCTCTCGCTACGGTGTGGTGCAACAGCCAAAGGCAGGAAATTTTGAAAGGCGCTGGCAACAGGAACAGTCCGTTGTGACCAGCGTCCTAGCTACTACCACCGGGACCTCCCGTTGTGGCCAGCATTATCGCTGCTGTCACCGGAACTGTCCGTTGTGACCAGCGTCGTCGCTGCTACCACCGGGACCTTCTGCTGTGGGCATCATTATCGCTGCTGGCACCGGAACTCTCCGTTGTGACTAGCGTCATCGCTGCTACCACCGGGACCTCCCGTTGTGGCCAGCATTATCGTTGCTGTCACTGGAACTGTCCGCTGTGACTCGACCACATCTCGTGAAAACGTAGTCTACCGAGAGTAAATCCTGATCATTGAGACTGAACTAAGCTTAGTGATTGATTCACCAAGATTGAACTCACTGAAAATGAGACTGAATTGAATTTTATGAAACTGAACTGAGAGTTGAACTGAAGCTCTCTCTGAAAGTCACACTTAGATCTGAAATCAATGCTGAACTGAACTCGTTGATCTGAGCTCACTGAGGCTAAACTTAGCTTTCTGAGATTGATTTGAGCTCTTTGTATCTGCAGTGAACTTACTGAAACTGATATGAATTCCCCGCTTATTGAAAGTCTGAGACTGATATGAGTTCTCTGAATTACAGTGAACTTACTGAAACTGATCTAGATTCACTAATGCGGATTTAACTTATAGAGGCTGAGCTCACTGAAGCTGATCCGAGCTTACTGAGAACAAACTGGAATCACTGAATCCGATATGAATTGACTGAAATTTAACTGTTTTCACAGAGTCTAAAATGAACTCACTCAAACTAAATTAAACTTTATAAGATGAAACTGAACTCACGGAACTTACTGAAACTAAATTTGTTGGAATTCTCACTGAAAACCTAGGTTACCTGATCGGACGTCCGGGACCCCCCTGACCGTCCGGGTTGTCCGCTGGGACAACCGGTCGGACATCCTCCCTTGGCAGACCGTCCGAGCCTGAACGACAAAAAAAAAAAAAAAAAAAAAAGTCCTCAAAAAAATCTGCAAAAACAATTATGTTATGCATAAATATAAACTGAACAACTTTTGCCTTGGGATTATATCAAAATTCGTTGTCAATTTTAAAATAAAAAATAAAATTGAAGGCACCCCCATTTGTTTTTTATTTTTTCGTGCATTTTTTTAATTATTTTCATGCTAAAAATGGAGTTGTTCGTGCCCGGACGTCCGAGACCCCCCTGACTGTCCGGCCAGGACGTCTTGCCATCTGACAACTGGTAACATAACTGAAAACTGATTTGGACTTATGGAGATTAAATCTGACGAGTTGAGCTTGTTGAAACTTAGATGAAGTCACTGATATAGCACCTTTTTTTTTCTTTCTCTCTCTCTCTTTGTCTATCTCTGTCTCTTCTCACCCTTTTTTTTTTTTTTTTTTTTTTTTTTTTTTTGATTCGTGAATTAAACTTGGACTTCATAGTCAACTACTCTTATTCCTGAGGGCGTGGCCCGCATCGCCCGCACAGCGGGCGCTTAGCTAGTAGTAATAATAATAGTAAGGGAGGGGAACAGGAAATAGGCAAACGTCAGAAACTCAGACATACACTGGAGAAGGGTCAGTCAAACCGCATGACTCCACCTAAAGGGAACCTTATCATACCAGTCCAGAAAAAGGGAGGGTGGTGGGAAGTTGGGCTCTCTCCTATAGGCAATGACCAATATGGGGGGGTGACACTTCGTGGATGGACCATATATGTGGAATATCAGAAGGGGGGAGATAAAACATTTTAAAGAGACATGCATGATTTTCTGGCAAAAAATTATGACCCAGGTCCTCGGATCACTCTTACTAATACAAAGGAGAAAACGTTTTTGGCCAGAAGGGATACGTTTCCGCGTTTTGATGGCAATAAGGAAGTGGGTCTTAAATGGTATTCTCACTCGGCCTTGTTGGATAATCACATGTTGAAGATCAAGGCCAACGCAGTGTGGTCCATCTCGGATGTGGCTTCCTTTTTGTGTATCATTTTCCGTAAAGGATTGCTGCAGTCAGCATCAAAATTAGAAAATATTAACTGGATTCGGCCCTAATCTCTTTATCATTCTCTCTGCTAAAGGAAGGAGTAAAATTGATGCATTAAAAATATTATATGATAAGAATCCTTATTGACGTCGTGCAACACGTACTACAGATTTTGATTTTCGTTCTCTTAGTGTAAATGGGTTGGCGACAGTAGACGCAGAGAAACGTCGCTCCATCACGGAGCAACTTAGAGGGGTGGGGGGTAAATCATGGCCAGATTTGATCTGCATCCAAGAAACGCACCTCATGGATATCCCAACACACACTAGAGTCTAGAACTCACAATCTGATTTGGTCATTCCAGAGACTTTGTTCCCATGCGCAAAAAAACGGCTGAAGTGGGGTGACCTTTTGGGTTCTCCCTCAATCTAGGGATGAAATTGTGTATTGGGATGCAGATAAGGAACAAGGGAGATGGATTGTAGCTTTAGTGATGTTGGAAATAGAAATAGTCTGTCTAATGAATATTTACGGTCCAAATGATGTACAGGAAAGAGTTATTTTTTTCCAAACAATCCGTAATTATATACCTGATGGGATACCTCTAATCATGGCCGAGGATTTCAATGCAGCTCCGGATCGGGGGCTGAATAGATGGAAGATCCCCGCTCCCTGTCATGGGTATATTGAGGAAGATGAGAATATAATTAGTAGATTATGTGAGTCTGAGGGTCTTTTTTATTCTCTTAGACGTCTTCATCCTTAGGAACGACTTTTCACATGTATACGTCATTGGGGTTCCAAAATTATTTTATAGGTCACGCATAGACTTTATCTAACTTTCAAAAGATTTAGAAAGGACTCTTTAGGGAGCAGTTATTTTCCCTCAAGGTCCTTGACGTGGAGCGGATCACAAAATGTGTGCGATACTATTGTCATTTCGTAAAAAATCAGAACAAGAGAAAATATTTTATAAGTTCAATACGTCCCTTCTTCGTATTCCTCGATTCATACAGTTTGTGCAAGATGTATGGAAATTATGGCAATCAACAAAGCCCTGACATGACTCTCTTATTGAATGGTTTAATAGTGGTTTAACCTTTGTGGCTCAGAAATGTCGGGATTATTCAAAATTACTGACAAATGACAGATATTAACAAGAGATACAAATTCAAGAGCAGATTTTGCATTATAAGCTACAGGATTCAGAGTCCAATCAACAATAACAAACCGATATCAGTAGCTTAAGGAATCAACTTCTTTCCTTTGCACAATATTGTTGGCAAGGGTATCTTATTAAAGGAAAACTAACTAAACATCAAAATGAAGGACAAATGGATACTATTTTCTTCATATGGCCAAATCTCGGGTCAGGTTGGTAACTATAGAAGGGTTGATAGACCCCATAATTCCTTCTCGTATCGATATTAATCTCATTTCCTCAACGGGTAATCTTAAAATATCCTATGATTTCTTCAAAGGTATTTTCACATCATCCCAAAAATCTCCTGATATAATTGAAGATCGTAAGAAGATAGTTGATTTTCTGATTCCCCTAACGAAAACTTTTTCACAGGAACAAAATGATTCACTGGAGAAATCAATCTCAAAGGAGGATATCTGGACAGCCTTGCTTCAAATGAAAGAGAAGAAAACCCCGGTTATTGATGGGTTTCCTAAATAATTTTGAGAATCAATATGACCGATTTTTTTAGATGATCTAATGAAATTTTACAATTTAGTTCAAAACTCAGGATATATGGGAGTATTTGTTGGACAAATAATTTTCACTCTCCTCTACAGAAAAAGGGATAAGACTAATATTATAAACTACATGCCAATCATATTGCTAACTGTTATTTATAAGATGCTAGCTAAGGCTATAGCGAATAGAATGATTCCGATTATGCCATAAATTATTTATTCCTCTCAAACAGGGTTTATAGAGGGACGCCATATACAAGACAATATATTATTGATTAATGAGATGATCAAATTGGCTCGTCAGTCCCGTCAAAATGTTGTAGTTGTCTTTATAAATTTTGAGAAAGCCTATGACAATGTGGACTGAAGATTTTTGGATGTCTGTTTGTCAAAAAGGAACTTTGGTCCTGTTTTGCGTCAATGGATTAGTATACTGCACTATAATGCTACCACCGGGGTTAAAGTTAATGGGTTACTTTCTCCAAAGATCAAATTACGAAGATCGGTGCGCAGGGGGATCCTTTGGCGCCTTTTTTACACACACACACACACACACACACACACACACGCACACACACACGCACGCACACACACACACACCCACACACACCCACACACACCCACACACACACACGCGCGCGTGCGCACGCCCGCGCCATCTGAACAACCAAGGGTGAAGTGGTTATCCCTATAAAACCCTATTCGGGTCTTGGGTGTTTCCCTTGCTGCTCTAGTGAGACACACTATCCTTGCTAGAAAAAACCCTGTCGACCGCCGCTAGAAAAAATGTCCCAATAGAAAAAATGTTCCACCACTAGGCCTTTCTCAAATATGCTCACCACCTACCTTAAATGTTGGATCAAATAGTTTTCTCCATTCCTCTGGTCTGGGTAAAAACGCTAAGAAAAGGATACCGCCTAGAGGATTCAGATTGGGTGGCCGGATATGATTCGGATAATGTATGGATAATAGGTCAGGTTGTTTGTCAATATCAAGATGGAGCAATGGTAAATATTTTTCATTTACAACAGGATTTCTTTTTGGCTAGGTACGATCTAGAGAGGGTGGAGTGAGTGCTCAACAAAATGTTATAAAGGATTAGGGTCCTACGTCACACAATAGCTTGTGACACAACACTTGCTCGATGACAGGCCTACTACTTGAAAATCTCAATAGCAGAGCTTCCACTTGACCCTGAGGAATGAACATTGAAGGTATCGAAGAGAGGTAAGCCCATAACGCCTAAATCCCTCAGTGTCAAGGCTGCCTATCGGATGTTGAGACCCAAAGTCGATGCTCCAACAATTGTGCAAGACAGATGGGTAAGACATCTCAACATCCACATAGACCAATTTAGATCAGTACGATGGTTTCAATCCACTAAGGAAAGACCAACCACATTTGCTTCACTTCAATGACAGATTATGCATAGATATATGTCCACAAATGATTGGTTGATAGATCACGCAATGGTGGAATAGCGGGGTTTAGCGTTACCATGGTGTCGATCTTGTCACATAACATTCCCCTCTCGTAAATACAGAGAAACGATGAAACACATGTTTACTCAGTGTCCAGGGTCCATCCTTATGTGGCAACGTTGGGACTGTATTTGGTGAAGACTAACGGGTCTCCAGTGGCCTTGGGAATGGACTCAGAGCCCTTTTACTAGGACAATGGAATCCAGTTGACCTTCCCCTCTCAACCTTTCAGTCAAATTTATTCTCTCTTGGTAGGAAAGCTATCATATGGACCATATGGCAAAGGAGGTGTGTATATCACAGTATATGTAATGAAGGAGGTAAGTATGGAAGGGATGAAAGTTTCTCAGAATATCAAACAATTTGTGGAAACAAAAATTCGGGCTCAATGGGCTAATCTTAAAGTTAAATTAAAATCTCTAACTCAGAAGAAATATATCAAGAAATCTATTTTCAAATTCACAATCGACCGGTTAGGGAAATCTCAGGAGCAAGGAATTGGACAGGTGGTATGGCCTGATGAGAATGAGTCTGTGACCCCTCTCAAGAAGA